TTCTCATTAGTGTTTATAATAATTATCATTATTTATTTAAATTCAAATTGATTTAAAAATACATTTCTTATAACTTAGAGCATTACCTCATGAGTATTTAAAGGCAAATTGAAACAAATATTTAACTAAAATTAACAAAATACTTTTTTCACAATTCTGTCACTCAAATTCGAAGCGAATAGCTTTTCAAGCACCTTAAAGATAACATATGTGCCATAAACAAAGGAATATTGTAAATAAATTACACATACGCCGCGTTTGCCCGCCTTCAAGGTGAAGCCATATCCAATGCAAAGTAATCTATTTGTATAAGCATTGGTGTTGCCAACTAATGGACTGACGAATTTGCTATGCATGTTATCAATATCGTAAATTTGTTTGGTATCGTAAATGAGCTCTATATGCGATAAGATCTAATGAGAGAGTTTGCCCCAGGTGCAAATTAATTTTGGAGCTATTTACGCAGAATGTAACTGATTCATTTGAATAATAGATTAATAATACTTTAATAATATGAATAATGATATATCATAAATCTTACGATAATGCATCATACTCTTTACTCTAGAAAACTGATTTTATTAATCCATTTACTGAATGTTCATTTTGCCATAGAGATGGCGAAGTAACGCTGCCCTGTCACAGCTCATATTTATTTACATTCATCTTAAAACTCTACATAACCTCAATTGCTAGCTGTGAGCCAAGTACAGTTGCTGCACTGCACTGCAAAGTGCACGTCGCTGATTTATGAACCCTTAACAATGTCCTTAAGTGGCAACAACTTAAGGCATGCCCTTTATTTTTATCTCTCAATATATATAGCCCACAATATATAGTATAAGAGTTGTATAGTGTTATACTTAAATATCCATAAGCTCTCCATAACCTCAAATTGTTCAATTAAAGCACTTATTACGCTCGGCTCTCGAGGCTCGCCCCTCGACTGCATTGCACTTCATTTATATGCACACCCATTTGTGTGTGCTTATATAGGCTGGCATATTTATAAGGCAATTATTACCGTTATGTTTGCAGCAGCTGGATACGAGCATCGACACTTTTGTCGCCTGTCGCAGCGCTCAGCCGGGCTTTGGCGCGAACCTTAAAAGCAAATCGGCGCAGGAGGCGAAATTTAAAATTCTGCTTGCAATTTCGCTCTGTTGCATATTCATGGTGAGCAAACACACACGCTATAAACACACACACACACACATATGCATATATCTGATATATGCTTGATTTAATTAAGATAACTTCAGCGCTCTATATAAACTTGGTCTACACATTTACCTATATATCTATCTCTATGTGTACTTGATTAGATTATTGAATTCCTTGGCGGCTATATAGCCGGAAGTCTGGCCATTATGGCCGATGCGGCACATTTGGCATCTGATTGCATTAGTTTCGTCATCGGCCTGGTCGCCATTTGGCTGGGCGCCCGACCGCCAGATGCACGCATGTCCTTCGGTTACAAACGTTTTGGTAAGTATACCAATTATGGTCTCGACACTATGCTAATGAGTGTACAGTGGGCAAGAGAGAGAGAGAGAGAGAGAGTCACAGTTGACAGACAAAACCACTTACAATACCACACCCACACACACACACACATACATACACTCATACACTCATCTGCTCGCTTTGGTCATGTAATTGCATTTATGCCAAGCACACGTTCACATGTCTCTCTATTATTTGCCATGCAACCAACACACACTCACACACACTCTGTACACACACACACACTCGCTCACTCACCTGCTGCTGTGGCTATTAGTCGCTTATCCCGATTTTCTCTATTTTTCATTGCACTGCCCTCGCAGAGGTCGTCGGCGCCTTGATCTCCATCCTGGGCATTTGGCTGCTGACGGCAATGCTCGTCATTGTTGCCATCGAACGCATTTGGTCGCTGCAGTTCGAGCTAGATGTTAATGTCATGATGTGGATATCGGCCATTGGCATTGTCATCAATGTTGTGTGAGTAGAACATAAATTTGTAGTTATGCATATACGTATTGAAAAGGGTAAGGGTAAGGATAAGGAAAACTTACAGAAATATAGCCAAAAGGCTTTCTATAAATTTTATATTTCCTTTTGAATAATTTGAATATGAATATTATTTATTGAGGTTTTTTTTTTTCAAAATTAAAAGGGAATATATGTTAGAGTTTATCTCTAAATTTATTATTTACTCAATTATTTTATTTACTTTTTTTTAAGAGTATTAGAAAAAATATATAATCTTGATTTTAAGGAGGCAAAATTTTACCATCTAAAATCCTGTGAATTTATTATATGCACTTGTATATATTAACGACGTAAAATAAAAATAAAATAAAGAAATATGTTCACATTTAAAAATAGAATAAAATAAAACAAAAAAAAAAAAAAAAAAAAAAAAAATATTTTCACATTTAAAAATAAAAAAAAAAAAAAAAAAAAAAATAAA